TCATGCTGGGGCCTCGGCTGGCCCCTCATGCGTTGACCCCCTCATGCCGGGGCATTGGCCCTTCATGCGTTGACCCCTCTTGCCGGGGCTTCGGCCCCTAATGCGCTGACCCCTCATGCTGGGGCCCTGGCTGGCCCCTCATGCGTTGACCCCCTCATGCTGGGACATTGGCCCTTCATCCTTCATGCCTTGACCGCTCATGCCATGGCTCCGGCCCCTCATGCCCTGACCCCTCCTGCTGGGGCCTTGGCTGGCCCCTCATGCGCTGACCCCCTCATGCTGGGGCATTGGCCCTTCATGCGTTGACCCCTCATGCCAGGGCTTCGGCCCCTAATGCGCTGACCCCTCATGCTGGGGCCTTGGCTGGGCCCTCATGCGTTGACGCCTTCATGCTTGGACTTTGCCCCTTCATGCGTTGTCCCCTACTGCCAGGGCTTCGGCCCCTCATGCGCTGACCCCTCCTGCTGGGGTCTTGGCTGGCCCCTCATGCGCTTAACCCTCTCATGCTGGGGTATTCCCCTTTCACGCGTTGACCCCTCATGCCTGGGCTTTGGCCCCTCATGCGCTGACCCGCTCATGCTGGGGCCCTGGCTGGCCCCTCATGCGATGACCCCCTCCTGCTGGGGTATTGGCCCTTCATGCGTTGACCCCTCATGCCAGGGCTTCGGCCCCTCATGCGTTGACCCCCTCATGCTGGGGCTTGCCCTTCATGCGTCGACACACCATGCTGGGGCCTTGGTCTCTTTCGCGTCGACCCCTCATGCTGGGGCCTTGGCTGGCCCCTCGTGCGTTGACCCCCTCATGCTGGGGTATTCGCCCTTCATGCGTTGACCCCTCATGCCTGGGCTTTGGCCCATCATGGGCTGACCCGCTCATGCTGGGGCCTTGGCTGGCCCCTCATGCGTTGACCCCCTCATGCTGGGGCATTGGCCCTTCATGCGTTGACCCCTCTTGCCGGGGCTTCGGCCCCTAATGCGCTGACCCCTCATGCTGGGGCCCTGGCTGGCCCCTCATGCTTTGACCCCCTCATGCTGGGGCGTTGGCCCTTCATTCGTTGACCCCTCATGCCAGGGCTTCGGCCCCTCATGCGCTGAACCGCTCATGCTGGGGCCTAGGCTGGCCCCTCATGCGTTGACCCCCTCAGGCTGGGGCATCCCTCTCCGTGTGATGCCCATAACGCGGGTTGGGTAGTCAACTCTTTTCTCCGCACGCGCTACCCTCGCCTTGGTATGCGTTGGCATGCATTGGCATGCGTTGGCATGCGTTGGCATGCATTGGCATGCGTTGGCGTGCGTTGGCGTGCAGCTGCATGCAGTGGCATGCATTGGCATGCGTTGGCATGCAGTGGCAATCGTTGGCATGCACTCACATGCACTGGCATGCATGGGCATACTATGGCGTGCGTTGGCTCGATTTGCCATGCATTGGCATGCGTTGGCATGATTTTGCATGCGTTGACGTACATTGGCATGCATTGCCATGCATCGGCATGCGTTGGCATGCGTTGGCATGCGTTGGCGTGCATCGGCATGCGCTGGCACGCTGTGGCATGCAGTGACATGCGGTGTCATGAATTGGTATGCGTTGGCATGCACTTCCATGCGTGGGCATGCGTTGGCGTGCCATGGCACACGTTAGCATGCATTGGCATGCGTTGGCATGCCTTGGCATGCCTCGGCATGCAGTGGAATATTATGGCGTGCGCTGGCATGCATTGGCATGCATCGGCATGCGTTGGCATGCGTTGGCATGCTTTGATATGATGCGCCGGCATGCATTGGCATGCATTGGCACGCATTGGCATGCATTGGCATGCGTTGGCGTGCGTTGGCATGCATTGGATGCGTTGGCATGCATTGGCATGCGTTGACGCATGTGTAGGCATGCGTTGGCATGCGTTGTCATGCATTGGCACGCATTGGCATGCGTTGGCATGCTTTGGCGTGCTATGGCATGCATTTGCATGCGTTGACATGCGTTCGCATGCGTTGGCATGCGTTGGTGTGCAGTGACACGCATTGGCATGCGTTGGCATGCTTTGGCGTGCTATGGCATGCGTTGGGATGCATGGGCATGCAGTGTCATGCGTTGGCATGTAGTGGCATGCGGTGGCATGTTTTGGCATGCGTTGGCATGCTTTGGCATGCGGTGGTATGCTTTGGCATACATTGGCACGCATTGGCATGCATTGGCATGCATCGGCATGCGTTGGCATGCATTGGCATGCGTTGGCATGCGTAGGCATGCAGTGGCATGCATCGGCATGCGTTGGCATGCATTGGCCCGCTGTGGCATGCGTTGGCATGCGCTGGCGTGTTTTGACATGCGCAGGCATTCACAGGCATGCGTTGGCATGCAGTGGCATGCATTGGCATGCATTGGCATGCGTTGGCATACGTTGGCATGCATTCGTATGCGTTGGCATGCGTTGGCATGCATCGGCATTCACTGGCATGCGTTGGCATGCGTTGGCATGCATTGGCAGCCCTCCCCGCCTGCTACCCCTAACCTGAGCAGCCACTGCGTCCTTGTGGAGGCTACTCGCCAGGGCGAGGAGCCCTCGCTAGCAACCCCTATGAACAGGCTGCGGGCTACCCAAGCAGACTTGGCAGTTCGGTCAGTGATCCTCCTTCTTCTCCCCCTCCTCCTCCTCCTCCTCCTCCTTCTTCATTCCTTTTCCTGATAAGTAATTTCTCCCTGCCGCACCCCGAGGCCAGTTTTTACGGCGGCCCGGGCGTTTCGCCTGATACTTCCTCACCACTGATGATTATGAAGCTATTGGCAACAGTGTCGCAGATGGAGGGCGGGTGGTTTTGCAAATGTGAAAGAGTTTCACGGATTGAGGGCGGCTCGTTTTCAAAATGTGGTTCTCGCCTTAGCGCGACGCACATTCGTTTTGTTTCTGTTTTCCAAACTTTGCAAGATCTTCACGGATCGAGGGCGAGTGGGTTTCAACATGTGGTTTTCGCTTTAGCGCAGCGCACAATTCGCCTGAAACTTCACCACCATTCATGGCCCTGAAGCTTTTACCATGACAATAGTTTCACACATGGAGGGCGGGTGGTTTTCAACATGTGGCTTTCGCTCTAGCGCCGCGCGCATTCGCTTTTTTCCCCGACCTAGGCTCTGCCTAGAAGGATTCTTACTCTGTTGGCTTACAGGGGCCGGGCAGTGTAAACCGCCCCTGGCGGTTCCCCCAGTCCCCTGGGAGCCAAGCAGAACCAACAGCAAGGGTAAAAGCAAACGCGTGGTTCCCCCAGTTGCGCTCCCTGGGTGCCAAGCAAAAGCAAAAGCAAAGGCAAACGTGAAGGCAATCACGAAGGCAAAGCAAAAGCATAGCTTAGCATAGCAAAGCATCGCATAGCATAGCATAGCGCAGCACATCATAGCGCAGCATAGCGCAGCATAGCATAACATAGCATATCATAGCATGGCATAGCATAGCATTGCCCAGCATAGCCATCCTTCAAATTGGGACTGCTAGATCATAGGCAGGCTGCTACAACTGGCCATAGCCCAGGCTGCTACATCTACGACGATGAGGAGACGGAGGAGGACGGCGTTTACCGCTCCTACTAATGTTGCTTTCATAGAAGCTCCAACTCCTAGGTAGGGTCACACTAGGATATTTTCTCCAAGCTTTGCAAGAGCTTCACGGGTTGAGGGCGGCTCGTTTTCAAAATGTGGTTATCGCCTCATCGCCGCGCACATTCGTTTTCAATCTTTGCAAGGGCTTCACGGGGTGAGGGCTGGTGGTTTTCAACTTGTGGCTCCCGCCTTAGCGCCGCGCGCATGTGTTTTGTCATTATGCAAGTGTTTCACGGATTGAGGGCAGTTTTTTTTCAACATGTGGTTCTCGTCCCAGCGCCGCGCACATGCGTTTTCAAATTGTGCAAACGTTTGACGGATTGAAGGCGGGTCGTTTCCAACATGGTGCTCTCGCCTTAGCGCCGCACGCATTCCGTTTCACAGTTCGCAACAGCTTCACGGGTTGCGGGCGGGTGGTTTTCAAACTGTGGATTTCCTTTTAGCGCCGTGCATATTCGTTTTTTATATCCAAAACATTACAAGAGCTTCACAGACCTCCTTGCTCGGCACACCAGCAATCATGTTTTGGAAAAGGATTCAGGATTCTGAGGGCGCAACAGTTACGTTGATTCGCTGTGTTGGAGTCCCAAGAATGGTGTTCTGGCACGGTTCAAGATCGTCAAGACGCAAGAGTCAGGTTTATCCGTGGCGTTGGAATTCCGAGAATATTGTTTTGGCATGGTTCAGGGTCTTCAAAAGGCTGCTCCCCCTCCTCCTCCTCCTCCCCTCCTCCTCCTCCTCCTCCTTGTCCTCCTCCTCCTTGTCCTCCTCCTCCTCCTCCTCCTCCTCCTCCTCCTCCTCCTCCTCCTCCCCTCCTCGCTGTTCCCTCAGGCCCTCCTGATGTCAGTGCTCTGCCAACCCTCGGGTCGCCGCCCTGCGTCTTCATCGTCGGTCCTCTCCTCTTCTCCCTTTGGTCGGGGGAGTCGGGGTCCTCGTTGGCGGCGTCGGGGGGCAGCGGCTGGCAGGGCTGGACCAAAACTGTGCTCTGGCAATCTCGTGGGCCGTCCTGTTTTTCGTTCTTTTTTGAATATTCAGGGCGGAACGGAGGCAATAAGCGAGGAAACGCAACGTTTAGGTTCAGCTCTTGTGGTTGGGGTTCAGTCGGGCACGTCCCTCTACAGGGGTAATATTGAACAATGATCCAAAAATAGTCTGGGGACGCATTTTGAACGGTGTTGATTTTTCTTGTTGGGGTATTTCTGTTCCTCCAATGTCCGCTTGTAGAGGGACACGTCCGGCCGAACACTTCGCCACGCGCTCCCACCCCAGGACGGCCTGGCCCTGGCGGCGAGGCTGCGCGAGGCGCGGGCGCGGCCGGCGCTGGCGTGCGCCCTGCTGCTGCTGCGGGAGCTGGGCCGCCGCCCGCCCTGGGGGGGCGGGGGCGACGCTGGAGACGGCTCGGGGGCGGCCGA